GAATCTTCGATTCAGCGTTTTCTAGCTCCACCTTCTGCTTCATTTCTCTGAATGATCAATTTCTAGCTCCTGATCCTGGAATTGGATCGACTAATCTCGAGTTCGTGACGGATTTCGATATGCTCTGATCGGATTCTACTGGAAGAAAACAGCAAAAAAGGGAGATTTGATCTAACAATTTCGTTGGAGGAAGAAAGCGATTGAGGGTTTGATTTCCAATGGGGGATAATCGTTCTTTAGGGTTTTGGTCGATTGGGTTTTTGCTCTTGATCGGCTTTGCGAATGGATCGATTCACGAGTATAAGAACGAAAGGTTCACTGTACGTGCCAATGCTCGATTCTTCCATGGTGGTAGCGAAGGTCTTTACGCTTCCAAGTTTCAGAATGTAAATTCTACTTCTTCTGATGTTAACCCTCTTGAAGGAAAGTCCTTCATTAGGTCAGTTTCTCTCTTTCTCCAATCTCGGGATTGTGTGGTACTTATAGATACACACCATTACTGGATTTGGACTAGAATTGCTAGGGACAGTTAGAATTGTATCTGCTTAGAGGATTACTTGCTTTGATTGTATAGGTTTAATTGCAATTACCTCTATAGCTACTGAAGTTGTCTTCTTTCTTTAGGTTTGATGATGTTACGTTTGTGAGGACGACGGAATCGGCGAGGAAACAGAATGCAATGCAGTCAACTGCAGGATTGGTTGAAGCTATAATACTTGAGGTGAAAGACCGTGAGAGAATTGGGGGATCTTTTCTGAAAACGGAATCAATTTGTTGCACGCCTGAGCTAGCTGATGCTGGATCTTGCAGTCTGGGGGAAGTTATCATTAGGAGAGATCCTAATGATCCTGAGTGGCCAAGACAGATCAAGACCTTCTTTAAAGGGAACAAGACAGAAGTTAATATGTCACCAGAAACTGTGGTTATAAACAAGACTGGGATGTATTATCTTTATTTCATGATATGTGACCCGGAACTGGATGGGACTATAATCAGAGGAAGAACAGTTTGGAAGAACCCTGATGGTTATTTGCCGGGAAAGGTGTCTCCTTTAATGAAATTTTTTGGATTCATGTCGTTAGCTTATCTTTTGCTTGGTCTAGTTTGGTTTCTCCGGTTCGTTCAGTTTTGGAAGGATATAATTCAGCTGCACTATCATATCACTTTTGTTATTGCTCTTGGCATGTGTGAAATGGCTGTTCGATACTTCGAGTATGCTAATTTTGACTCGACTGGAAGGAGGCCAATGGACGTTACTCTGTGGGCGGTGACCTTTTCCTCCATTAAAAAGACACTTTCCAGGCTTCTTCTTCTGGTCGTCTCTATGGGTTATGGGGTAGTGAAGCCTACCCTTGGTGGCATAACTTCGAGGGTACTTCTTCTTGGAGTCATATATTTTGTCGCAACAGAGGCTCTTGAGTTGGTTGAGCATTTGGGAAACATCAATGACTTTTCTGGAAAAACGTTGATATTCTTGGTCATTCCCGTGGCATTACTGGACGCTTGCTTTATTCTGTGGATTTTCTCATCATTGGCAAGAACACTTGAGAAACTTCAGGTAAGATACAACACTTATTTTGAATTGATTTCTTTATCCATCAGTAGCAGATACACATCGAATATTCTCTGACACGTCATTATATCCAAAGGATGTATCTATGCCAGAGGCGTTCAAGGTCATAACCATGTTATATTATTTGGCTGCTCATTTTGCAATTCATTCGAGGAAAATCAGAAGCTGCATAACCCATCTGCTAAGATCCAGTTCGTCTTACTTATTGTAGCTTCTCATCCGTTTAATGTTCATTGCAGATTAAGAGAAACATGGCAAAGCTTGAGCTTTATAGGAACTTCACCAACGCGCTTGCTATCTCTGTTCTGCTCTCTATTGCTTGGATTGGTTTTGAGGTAACTCGCTACTCTATTAAAGACCCTTGTGTATTACTTGAAACTCCAAGTCAAAGGAGTGTAACTGAAATCACATTCTTCTCTGTCTCTGTATCAGCTATACTTCAACGCAAACGACCCTCTAAGCGAATTCTGGCGAATGGCATGGATAATTCCAGCTTTTTGGAATTTACTCTCTTTTGGTTTGTTAGCAGTCATATGCATCCTTTGGGCTCCTTCCAATAATCCTACCAGGTTCTAATACTTTCCCTTAACCCGTACTCAAATGTTGTAGACTTCAGTGGTTCCAATGGTCAACTGCCAAAGATGTCAAGATTGAAGACTCTTTTTATGTGTTGACGAAGAGATCATCATCTATTTGCAGCTGAACGCTAATTGTTTTAAATCTTGTAGGTATTCATACTTGGCGGAAACAGGGGACGAGTTTGAAGAGGAAGGTATCTCATTGACGGGTAGCGGAATTAAGAGTACAAGCGATATTGAAAGGAATGAACTTCTATACGGGCTTGCTGACGACGTTGAAGAGGACAAACGCGAGTAAACTCCAGGTAACATACATTAAATAGCCAATATCTAAAGGGTCTATACCTCGCCGAGGAGTTGTAGTGTAAGTCTTGCATCCCGGTTTGTAACCTTCATGTAAATCTTTTAACTTTTGTACCTGAGTAAGTTGTTTTCTGACCCTTAAGGACCTATTTACTCAGATCAAAGTTCTTGTAGTCTTATTTGTTTACTGTTAAAGGACAAAGGTTCCGTTGAAGAGCTTCTGCTATACACAGACTGCTTAGTTACAGAGTGTCAAAGGGAATTCTTTTACATTAGAGACTTGAGATATTCGTCGAGACCGGAAAGTCGTTGATTATCAACGTAGCTGTACATCAAAGGAACTGTTCTTGCAATATTTAGACAAGCTTCTGAGAATGACCTTGAGAATGGTCTTGGAATCAAACACTCCTGGTTCAAGCATTTCCATGCTTTAGATATCTTCTGGACAACATGTGTTCTTGCTTCATCAACAGTTGATCCCTTTTGCTCGTTCAGGTAACACTCGACATATGATCCATCAATCCCATCTTGGTTCTCATCCTGTTAAAACACACAAAACTTTCTTTAAGATTCGATATAAAGTTTCAGATTCTCTCTACTCATTAGTATCATTAGTTCAGTATAACCTTGGCACTTCCGAGATCATCCCAGAGCCTAAGAATTGTAGCTGCAGATGATACAATCCTTGGGTTACTCTCGATTAGTTTGACTTTATCTCTTGTTAGTTCTTCGCCCAATAAGAAGTATACATGGAGCATCACTAAATGAACTCCTGAGCTCACAATTCCATTTGTAACATACTCCGGTATTCGGTAAGTAACCCGAATTAAACCATTTTGCTTCAACCAAAAATGCTTTACACAAACTTGCCCACTGAGAAATAAAGGCATTGTAATGTTGGGTTTAACCAATTCAGCTACATGATACAAAAAGTCCAGAGCTTGTTTTTAACCAATTCAGCTACATGATATAAACATGACCTTGTTTTTAATGATAATTACCGATTTTCGAAGAGTCTGTCGGGTTCCAACCATGTGATTCGCAAACCTTCATGCTAATATCCATTGTAATCATGTCCAGAGCTTCAAAGCAAACCTTCATGTATCTCGGTAGCTTCTCAAGCCCCTCATGGTCCCATCTAGACTAATATTTTCATTATAATATACATACTACAAAAATAAAGAATGTAAATCAACATAAGATAGAGTTTATGTACCTCTCAACAGCTTGTGTGAAGATGGTGAGTTCTTCTAGCTTTCCATAGACATCAAAAATGTCATCTACAATGTAAATGAGTGATATCGGTTTAGTAAGATTAAGCCTTTGTTCGGTTAAGGTCGGATCTTAAAGAATTTCCACGGACCATGTGTGCCATTTCTCTGGCTGGTTTCTTGCCTTTGTCAGCTCTTTCTCTAAACCAAGCTCTCTCCACCATCTGAGAAGTAAAAATACCCATACCAAGGCTTATATCAAACCTTGAACGACTTCCGGTTAAAAGAAGGTTGGCAAACTGGCATGATTTCTGACCCGATGTGCACGTTTTGATCTGCTCAAGAGGAAACAAGAGACCACTTATTTGTTAACTGCACCTTCTCTACTCTGATTTGGGAAAAGATCCTCCATCGGTTAGGAATGCCTCTTCATACTTTCCACTCTTGGAGAACTATGATGTCTTGGTTATTGATTAGATCAGGCAATGGAAAATCAACTATCTTGAAGAGAATTGTAGCTCAAGCAACGGTATTGGCTTATGGAAGAAACGGAACAGTAGGATCCATAACTGCATCTCTCTTACTTCGGAGTCCTTTTCGCGCAGCTTGATAGATCCATGAGGGATACACTACTTGCCAGGCGATTTCGCAAAGGATGTTGTGGCCTCCTTTCTCAATGGTCTCGATATAGCTAATCTCTTGAAACATGCTTTGTTGCTCTACTAAAGTCCTTGGTTTTTTACTCTTTTTTTTTGCCAATAAAGTTCTCTGCTAATTAGTTCTTGTAATAACCTTTCCTTTTGGTAATAATATTCACATTTTATCAAAAAAAAAAAAAGAGTCTTATATCAAAAGTTACATATTATTATTCAACATAAAGTAACATGATCTTTAGATAGTATCATTTCTTTGAGACATTTCTTCTTGAATCAACGACTTCAACATAATGGAGTCTATCTCAGCCACTCGTAGAAGAGATTGTAACCACTCGTTATTTTCTTGACCCACCATTTTTATCATGCTTATGACCCTCTTGGACGTTAACCTTCTTGAAGTTTTATGGCGAGATTGCGTCAAAGAACTCATTATCTCTCGCTCTTGATGACTTTTTTGACCCGAGCAAAGTTCATTAAGACGGTTAAATGTGAATTCTCTCAAACTATGCCTTCTACACCGACCTCATTAGCTTCATACAATTCTATTAGACCCTTCACATCGAGTAAATGTCTCACAAGCTCATGTTGACTAAGTCAATGTATAGGAAGCT